AGGAATAAATAAAAATATGGATAAATTTTTTAAAGCAGATTAAAATAGACTTAATTTTTTCCTTAGATGTTTCAAATTGAGGAACAATATAAATTATGTTCAAATAAAATATTTACTTTTGTGCAAAAACTTTTGGGTGAAGAAAAGATCACTATTATAATAGAATCCACATGATGAGAGTAAACATCCTGAAAAGATCTCCTATTCTTATCAAAGGATGATTACGGATATGGACATGGACATAAGCAGTGATCTAGAGATATCGCCTTCTTAAATGTAGACTATCATAGACAGGGATTATATGAGGATGAAAGGGGAAAGGAGATGAGAGGGGAAAACTGAAAAATATTTTCTACATGGTATTTCAAATACTTAATGAAGAAAAATTCCCAAATGAAAAACTGTTTAACCATTATTCCCTCATAATATTATGTATTACTTTTCAGTGCAATACATATATGTTAAAAAAATCTTTCTAATCGTAAAGGTGTTACATGAAGTCCAATGTAACTTAGAGCCTGTTTCTTGTGATGCTATGTGTGTGTTTTCTTTACTAAATCAGTGCCGATAAGTTTGCAATTCCATAGAGGGCTTTGAACTAAGGAACTATAGCAAACGGAAGGATAAATATCAGAAGGTTTCCTGCTAAGTAATTTAAAATGTCAACAGAGTGTGAAGTTTAAGCATCCTGGAGTGTTCTGAAATAAGATTATGGGCACTTTTTCTGAATATTTATAATTAGGTCAATCGGATCAACCACTAAAATAATCTGATTTTTTAAAAATTATAATTCAGGTACCCCTATAATTTGTTAAAAGACAAAGTGCAAACACTAATTTTACAAAAAGAAACTTCTTGTGTCTGATTTAAATTGTCCTTAAAATTTAGAATGTGAGGCTTCCATCAACTATGGATTTGCCATGGATGTATCCTCTCAGGAAGGAAAGGAAAAGTTCAAATATCAAGAATAATTTAAAACTTTTGAAAAAGAATACTATTTTAGATTTACATAAAATTTCTCCATGTATAAAACACTTTGACAGCCATAATATTACTTGATTTTCTCAACAACTCTGTGAGGTTGACAAAGAAGTATAATTTTTTCCATTTCCCAAATGAAGAAGCTGAGGCTCCAAATGATTTCATGTCTTGCCTTAGAACAATATGCTAATTAAACTGAGACTTAAATACCACCCAGTTTCACCTAACTCCAATAATCCTTCATTCCTACATCATCTGCCAAAAACAGCTACGTAGGAGATGAAGGGTGACCAATTATTAAAAATACCAGAAATTAATGGACTGTTTTTGCTTTCTAATTAAAACTTTTCTTTTGGTACGAAGAAATAAGATAATTCAAGAACATTGAACATATAAAAAACATTTCTTCATTACTTTGATTCTTTTCCAATTCAAGGATTTTAATGAAATGGCTGTTGGGGATGATATTCATATCAAACCTATGAGTATGGTGGTAGCCACTGCAGTTTAGAATAGCAGTTTCTTTTCTGGTTAATTACTAAGATTTTAAATATTTCATATGGGAGGATTTTTTTGGGAAAAAAAATGAAGTGAACCTAAGATTGACTGGAATTTACAAGCTCATTTAAAGAAAAGTCTCAACTATTTTTTCTTACAAATGTAATACCTACCCAGATGGCAGTCTTTGTAGTTTGTGGCACTGATTCAAAAGGCATATTAACTGCCACTCTCCTTAGCTGCATCAAGTATTTACAGGCCTCCTCTCAGAATGGGTTCAACAGTAATTAAAATAACACCCTTCCTCTGGGGTGAAATTACACTTGAAGAGTTTGGGGATGTTTTTTTTTCCTTCCTTTGGGTAAATAAGTCCTTCTGCCAAAAAGTATGAGAAAAAGTTGAGAATGGAAAGATCCTGAGAGAAAGGAGACAGAGGTGTGTGGCAGGATGGGGATGGGGGCTGTGGGTGTGTGTGTCGGTGAGGGGGAGAGGAGGAGAAAGAGAGAGATTCAAAATAGTACACCAAAGCAAGAGTCCCATAAACTATGTTAAAATGTGAGTGTTTCTTTCATTCTCTACCAGACACTGATAGACAAACAGGTTTAAAAAAAAAAAAAAAAGCAAGGGGGAAAAATACCATTTACTCTCTGCAGCAGCAGGAAATCAAGGAAAGAAAATAAACAGGGTTTGAATTGTGGGCCTTTAACCTGCTAGTCAGACAGTTTCATTCTGCATGTATTTGTGTGCTGGTAGATGGCGAAGGGGAGGTAAAAGGACAGGGGCCTTATGGGATTCTTGGGACTCCCACAGCTACCAGTCCAGCTGTACAAACACGCAAAAGCTTTGTTAAGGTACAGTGGGCAGCAGGCTGCAACTGCTGAGCTATCTGACCTATAAATCCCTTGCAAAAGCTCCACTTGAGGGGAAGCCAGAAGTTATGTGTAAATGTTTTATCCAGCCAGAAGCTAGCTATTGGTCATTTCCGTCTCCTGTCTCTCTCTTTCTTTCTCTCAATGGATACTCTGGCTACATTTAAAGTAGTATGTTTAGATACATAAATGACCACATCTTAAATTCTACTTTCCTCTAGGCCAAACAAGAAAGGGAATAGTAACTCAGAAGCTCTGTGTTCCTGACTTTACAGCTTGGGGCATATGTTCCAAAATTATGTGCAATCAACTTAGGCAGAGCAATAGAAATTTCTGTTATTGTTCTTTTCTTTAAATTTCTTTTTCAAACTCAGTAAGTGCATCACTTTAAAATTACCATCAATCTACATATATGTTTTACTTGACACAGGCTGGAGGCATTTGAGATATTCCCTTAAATATGACACCACTTACACTTGCCCAGTTTTTCCTTTTGCTTTTAGCCTCATTCACAACAGATAATCTTAGCAGGCATATTATATCTTGAGGGTAAACAATGCGGAGGTTCTCAATGACTAACCCCAAGGAGAACCTTCCTGAGATTTTTTTCTCTTTTCTAAACATTTCTGAACTCTAAGTGACCTCCTTTTATGAAGCTTCCAAATGGCATCTAAACACCTTAAACACTATGCACTTAGTAAGCTATCTAGACTATTAAAAAACTGTAGAAAATGACACAAAACAATGACAAGTGAAGGAGGCTAAATTTAAGCAGAAAATGGCTTTTATAAATATTCATAAAGCTAGAGAAGCCTCTGTTGAAAATACCTGGAAGCCACTTTGGGCTTTCCAACATCCTAGAGAGACAGAAAAATACAATCCATACTAAAAACAAAAAACACACACCAACATAGAGGTGTTTACTCTATGTATATGCTGCTCTGAGTTTAATAATTTTGGTAGCACTCGAACAATAGTAAATATTCAAAGATACTAAGCAAAAGTGGCATTTTTCTGAAATGTCACTCTGTGATAGTCTGAAGATTTTCTTCACTGACTCCTTTCATTACACTAAGCAAGAGACTAATGGCGTGGATAGCAAGACGTAAGCAATGGCTCTTGCTAGCTTACCAGAATACGCACTCAGGTAAAGATGACAAAACAAGCACACTCACACAAGTAACACACAGGCCCAAAAAAAGAGAGATACATCAGGATAGTAAAAATGCCTAACAATGGAAATTCAGAGGTGACAGAAAGTACTTACAGACAGGGGAAGTCAATATAAATTATGCCTTGAACATCATCATCTTCTTGAAAACGTCCTATGAAGGACTGTGAATAATTAACATCACATTAAAATAAAACAGACAACTAATAAGAACCTACTGTATAGTACAGGGAACTCTACTCAATACTCTGTAATGACCTATATGGGAAAAAAATCTAAAAAAGAGAGGATATATGTATATTTATAACTGATTCAGTTTGCTGTACACCTGAAACTAACAACACTGTAAATCAACTATACTCCAATAAAAATTAATTAACCCACCCCCTCCCAAAAGGATAATAATGCAAAGGAATAGGGATGACTTGTGGCAAAAGAGATAAAAGACTAGATGGAGTAAGTAACTTCCTATTTAAAAGGGTTGTAGCTCACCAAAGGCAACCTAAGAAGAGGCAGAATTCTGCTTCCTGGCAGGATCTGCTTATCTGATACAGATTCAGTTTGTTGTGTTTTTTTTTTTAAGATTTTTTTTTTTTTTGATGTGGACCATTTTCAAAGTCCCCACTGAATTTCCTACAACATTGCTTCTGTTTTATGTTTTGTTTTCTTTTTTTTGGCCGTGAGGCATGTTGGATCCTAGCTCCCCAACCAGGGATTGAACCCACACCCCCTGCATTGGAAGGCAAATTCTTAACCACTGGACCACCAGGGAAGTCCCCAGATTCAGTTTTACATGACCTCTAGGAAGTGAGAAAAGTCTAGTATTGTCAACGTTATCCATAAGTTTTCTCTAATTAAATTGATAGATAAATAATACAATTTATCTTGCCATCATTTCTTTCTAGTTAGTTCCACAGGTCAATTATCTGTGATCTCTATATACCACCAGTAGTCTGAGAAACAGCAAATAAATTCCCAATATATTCAGACTTCAGTAATAAAGTGTATAGCAATTCCGACATTCATAAATGAAGATGATGTTAGTGATCATTATTTGTGGTGGTTGTGGCTTGACTATAGCTTACCTATTGTCTCTGGTCTTGTCTCTGTGAAATAAGAATGACATAGACAATATACTGGCCAGGACACAGGGTAAATTCAGGAGAAAAATGAGAGCACAAAGTCACCAAGGATAAAGCTCTGATCAATATGACAATGACCCTGAACTTCAACTAAACACATGGTAGGACATCACCATACTCTGTCATTCTTTTGCTTCTTTTCTACACTTAAAAATTCGTTGTTTCAATACCACAGATATCAGATATAGAATTTTATCTGATTTAAGCCACTTTGAAGATTCAAATAAAGAGAAGAGAACACTCTTAGCTAAACACAAAAAAGGAGGAACCAAATTTAAAATTATAAATAGAACAGATATAGCAAAATTAACCATAATCTTCAGTGGAACAATTACTGACCTGAGACTTAAGATATCAGTTGCTCTAGTGAATGCTTCTGTGATACCCAGAAGTTCCCCAACTGATCTTTGCTTTTCTTTGTTCATCTGTAAAACCAGAAAAACAATTGATTTCACTCCCTACCTCATATGGATGTGAAAAGATTTTAAAATAAATTGCAATATTATTATTAACATAATGCCTTGTAAAACTGCAACTAATTACTAAAAAATAATATAAAATAATGCAGCACATTAAAAAGTTATTAATGATCCACCCACAAGCAAACGTGATTAAGACCTTTTAAATTTCACAAAATTTATCATTTAGATTCACTAAAGATGCCAAATACCAAAGACAAATTATTATTACTTTTTATTATTTCAAAATTGATGATGTTATTGTACTTGTTGTTCTCCTCCTCCTCCTTCTTCCTCTTCTTTTTATTACAAAATTTTTGTCAGACACTGACACAGCAGAGTATACTAGAATTCTGATTTAGTGGCTTCAACTTTTTTACTTTGTTCATTTTTCTCAACTAAGACTAGTAAAAATTTTCCATTGAATTCTAAGCTCTATTACTCCTACCATCTTCCTGGAATACAAACTTGGTAAGTGATAAAATCTTAATTTTTTTAATATTAGAAAATACAGATTAATATTTGATTAGAATAACTGACAAGATACTCCATAATGCCCCATAATACCAATATTTTCAATGCAACATGATATACAGAAACAGTAGTTTTTAAAACCTCTGACCAACAGAATATTCATCGTAAGAAAGTATTTTATTCTCAAACTCTTCCAAAAAACTGAAGGGGGGGAACACTCCCAAAGTCATTCTATGAAGCCATCATCACCCTGATACCAAAACCAGACAAAGACACAACCAAAAAAGAAAATTACAGGCCAATAGCTTTGACAAATATAAATGCAAAAATTCTCAACAAAATATTAGCAAACCGAATCCAACAACACATAAAAAAGATCATACACCACAACCAAGTTGGATTTATCCACAGCAAGGATGATCCAACTTATGCAACTCAATCAATGTGATACACCACATCAACAAAAGACAAAAAACACATGATCATCTCAACAGATGCAGAAAAAGCATTTGATAAAACTCAACATCCATTCATGATTAAAAAACTCCTTACAAAAGTGGCAATAGAGGAAACATATCTCAACATAACGAAAGCTATTTCTGGCAAAACCACAGCCAGTACAACACTCAACAATGAAAAGCTGAAAGCCCTCCCACTAAAATTTGGAACAAAACAAGGATGCCCACTCTCACCACTTCTCTTCAACAGAGTATCGAAAGTCTTAGCCACAGAAATCAGAGAAGAAAAAGAAAAGGTATTCAAATTGGTAAGGAAGAGGTAAAATTGTCATTTTATGCAGATGACATGATACTATATACAGAAAACCCTAAGCACTCCACACAAAAACTACTAGAACTGATAAACGAATTCAGCAAGGCAGCATGATACAAGATTAACATACAGAAATTGGTTGCCCTTCCTTATCCTAACAATGAAATGTCATAAAGTGAATGTAAACAAACAATCCCTTTTAAAATCTCATCAGAAAAACAAAAACAAAACAAAAAACCTTAGGAGTAAACCTCACCAAAGAGGTTAAAGACATATGATGAGAACTACAAAACATTAATAATGGAAACTGAAGATGATTCAAAGAAATGGAAAGATATCCCATGCTCTTGGACTGGAAGAATTAATAGTGTTAAAATAGCCATACTACCCAAAGCAATCTACAGACTTAATGCAATACCTACCAAAATACCCATGACATTTTTCACAGAACGAGAAAAAGTAATCCTAAAATTTATATGAAACCATGAAATACCCAGAACTACCAAAGCAATCCTGAGGTAAATGAACAAATCAGGAGGCATAATGCTCCCAGACTTCAGACAATACTACAAAGCTATAGGAATCAAAACAGCGTGGTACTGGTGCAAAACCAGATACAGGGCTCAATGTAACAGAATGGAGAGCCCAGAAATAAGTGCACACACCTAGGGATAACTAATCTTCAACAAAGAAAGCTAGAATATAAAATGGGGAAAAGACAGTCTCTTCAGCAAGTGGTGCTGGGAAAGTTGGACAGCCGCATGTAAATTAGTAAATCAATGAAGCTACAACACACCCTCACACCATACTCAAAAAAAAACTCAAAATGGCTTAAAGACTTAAAAATAAGACAAGACACCATAAAACTCCAAGAAGAGAACATAGGCAAAACATTCTCTAACATAAATTGTAGCAATGTTTTCTTAGGTCAGTTTCTCAAAGCAATAAAAATAAAAGCAAAAATAAACACATGGGACCTAATGAAACTTATAAGCTTTCACACAGCAAAGGAAACCATAAACAAAATGAAAAGACAATGTATGGACTGGGAGAAAATACTTGCAAATGATGAGACCAAGGAGGGCTTAATTTCCAAAATATATAAACAGCTCCTACAATTCAATAACAAAAATAAAAACAACCTAATTGAAAAAGAAGGGTGAGCTGTGACAGGGTGAGAGAGAGTCATGGACATATACACACTAACAAACGTAGTAAGGTAGATAGCTAGTGGGAAGCAGCCGCATGGCACAGGGATATTGGCTCGGTGCTTTGTGACAGCCTGGAGGGGTGGGATAGGGAGGGTGAGAGGGAGGGAGACGCAAGAGGGAAGACATATGGGAACATATGTATATGTATAACTGATTCATTTTGTTATAAAGCAGAAACTAACACACCATTGTAAAGCAATTATACCCCAATAAAAATGTTAAAAAAAAAAAAGAAAAGAAAAATAGGCAGAAGACCTAAACAGAATTTCTCCAAAGAAGATATACAGATGGCCAATAGGCACATGAAAAGATGCTTATGATCACTAATTATTAGAGAAATGCAAATCAAAACAACAGTGAGGTACCACCTCACACCAGTCAGAATGGCCATCACTGAAAAGTCTACAAATAACCTAAATGGGAAAAGAATTTGAAAAAGAATGGATACTTGTATGGGTATAACTGAACCTAATGTGCTTGTACACCTGTAACTAACACATCATTGTTAATCAATTATACTCCAATATAAAATAAAATAAACATTGTAAGTATACAAATAATAAATGCCAGAGAGAATATGGAGAAAAGGGAACCCTCTTACACTGCTGGTGGGAATGGAAAATTGGTGCAGCTACTATGGAAAACAGTAAGGAGGTTCCTCAAAAAACTAAAAATAGAACTACCATATAACCCAGCAATCCCACTCCTGGGCATATATCCAAAGAAAACCGTGATCTGAAAAGATACATGCACCCCAATGTTCACTGCAGCACTGTTTACAACACTCAAGACATGGAAGCAACATAAGGGTCCATTGAAAGATGAATGGATACAGAAGATGTGCTATATACATACACACACACACACACACACACACACACACACACTGGAATATTACTCAGCCATAAAAAGAATGAAATAATGCCATGTGCAGCAACATTATCATACTAAGTGAAGTAAGTCAGACACAGAAGGGCAAATATCATGTAATATCACTTATATGTGAAATAAGGATATGTGGATATTAGTCTCTGTATCCAAAACTCCCTCTCCTTTCTCTTATAAAGAACAGGCTGGTGAATGACAAAGGCTGGAAAGAATGTGGAGAATAGAGAATGCTCCTACACTATTGGTGGGAATGTAAATTGGTGCAGCCACTATGGAAAACAGTATGGAGATTCCTCAGAAAAAACTAGAAACAGAGTTGCCATATGATCCAGCAATCCCACTCCTGGGCATATACCCAGACAAAACTATAAGTTGAAAAAATAGGCATATTCCCACAACTAGGGCACCTGCTGGATGCTGCTTGGGGACCTTGACACCCAAGGAGACAGAAGGAACACCCAAGTAACCTGGTAGGACATGGGGGGACTGAGGAGGGAGAAAAAGTGGAGGCCGGACAGGACTGACACCCCTGAGGAGCGGCTAAGGGGAAGAGGGGTTCCCACACCTGGAGGAGCCCTCAGGGGCTGGGATCGGGGGGAGTGAGCCCAGTGTTTCCCCTGCCCAATAGACGGGGGAAGTCTGCCCAGATCTTGGGCCAGGTTCTACTCCCTCAGAGGCCCCCTCCAGGCCACGTTGCTCCTGGGGGCATAGGAGTGAGGTTGGGGCAGAACAGGAGAGGCATGCAGGAGGGGCCCTCCAGGACTGGAGGAGCTGGAGAGGAGCACAGGGCATTTGCCCCACCCACTCAAGTCCAGGAAGCCTGCGGGACTCCCAGGTGGAGTCCCCCACCCTCTGAGACCAGAGGCGGGAGGTACACCTGGGCCCCTTCTGTTCTGTTGAGCCTAAGCCCCACCCCCCAAAACCCCCAAGGCCTTTTCCAGCCCTATGGGTCCTAAGCATAGGCCCCATCCACCACGTAAACCCCACCCCTGCTTAGGCCCTGCCCTCCACAGCCAAGGCCTTTTCCATTTTTTTTTCTCCTCCTCCTCTTTTTTTACTATTGTGGTTCTGTTCTACCTTCCAGTTGTTTCATCTATATTTTTATTTTTATATTCTTTCTAACATATCTGTTAGTCTCCTAGTCTACTTTTATTTTTTACTTTGTTATTATTCTCTTTTTTTTTTTTTTTTTTTTTTGCCACCCCACATGGCTTCCGGGATCTTGGTTCACGAGCCAGGGTTGGGCCCAAGTTCCTACACTGGGAGCTCCGAGTCTGAACCACTGTACTAACAGAGGACCTCAGTCCCAGGGAATACTCATCAGAGTGAGGTCTCCTGGAGGTCCTCATCTCAGCACCAACACCCAGATCTACCCAAGAGCCTACAAACTCCAGTTTTGGAAGCCTCAGGTTAAACAACCAGTAAGACAGGAACACAATCTCACTCACCAAAAAAAAAAAAAAAAAGAGACAACAAAACAATATGTTACAGATGAAGGAGCAAGGTAAAAACCTAAAAGACCAAATAAATGAAGAAGAAATAGGCAATCTACCTGAAAAAGAATTCAGAGTAATGATAGTACAGATGATCCAGAATCTCAGAAATAGAATGGAGACACAGATTGAGA